AGCAAACAAATATTTTTAAATTAAAGAATGGTGAAAGTAATAAAAAAATTCTTGTAATGACAAAATAAGAAGCAGTGAAAATAATAAAGAGATCACTTACTGTCTCCTTTGGTGATTGTTAAAGGTTGGCATTTCTAGATATAATTTTCTTGAAGAATATGGTCATCAACACGTACATTCAATTTTATACCCTGTTTATTACACATTTTTATTGCTTCTCTAGTGGGCTAAGATTTTTCAGAAATTAATTTAGTGGTGACCTTAGTCATTTACTATACTAGAGGTACCAGAAGTGAAAGGCCTTAACATTCTCTTACACTGCAGGAGATGACTTCTTGTTGAGTACCACTGAGTTGGAACTGACCCATAGCTGATGCTCCAGTGGATTTTCAGAGGCAGTAACTTGCAGGAGAGGAGACTGTCCATAATTTTTTGGTGGATCAGAATTGTGTCCATATGCACTGGCAGTAGAGTTCTTCAGCAGTTAAATAATCAGCATTCCCTTAGGGTTGACGTGGGAGAAGTGGTTAGTTTAGAAGACTACAAATCTGAATTCAAGGTGCTACTTCTTGGGGAAAGGTTTTCCTCCTGTGTCTTTTTGGTGGCACCAAAGCTCCCCATTTCTCTGCTTGCTTTTCTCCCAGGAGATAGGTTTTACAGGCAAAACCCCAGAGAAGCTCTCTTTACACTGGATTAGGCCTGAACTTGGATTAAGGGTACTACCTCACACCCTTAAATCCTTTTACAGCTGCCTGGCTTATCAAATCATGGGGCGATTATTACCACTGCTACATACTGTGTATTCTTTGGCGACACAAATCGACATCATTTCCTTTCTCATTATTTTTAAAATTAAGCAGTATTATCAAGCTGTGCTGTAATTATTACCAAGGATTTCCACAGGGTGATTCTAACAGGGGAATTGTTGGGCTAGTAATGTGAGGCAGAATTTGAAGGCTTCTGCTACCTATTGGTACGGTTTCCCCAGCTTCTCACATGGTTAGTCATGGAGGGAAGTCCAAGGTCACTGATGAACAGAACTCTGCATAAAACCTCCAAGTGTTTTCTCCAAGGGAAGCGGCAGCCCCAGCATGGCTCCCTTGTGCAGCCTCAATTCCTGGCTCAGTGTACTCTCCCCAACCCCCCAAAACCTCCAATCAAATAGAAAGCAACCAACTGCCATTGAGTTATGGCAACTTTCTTTTGGGTTTTTGAGACTGTAAATCTTAACAGGAGGAGACTCCCTCATTTTCCCCCTAGAAGTTGATGGATTTGAACTGCCAATCTTTTGGTCAGCAACTCAAAATAAAATCTGCTTCAGTTGTTGTGTATCATCAAGTTGGAACTGACTCATAGCTGACCTTCCAGTGAGTTTTCAGAGGCAGTTAATCATTTAGGAGGAGATTGCCCATCCTTCTCCTGCAGAGCAGCTGGTGTATTTGAACTGTGTGCTTTTAGGACTGCTGCTTGGCTTCTTGCCACCAGAGCTCCCTTAAATCGTCTAGTCCCCCAAAAATTTAAATACAGGGTTATTTCAAAAGATAGGATCTGTACTTGTGTTGTAAAAAGCTCCACTGCACTGAAGTCAGGCTGTGGGTCTCTGTGGGCCCACCATCTCTTTGCGTCTCCAATGTGAGCCTACCTTCTCCAGTCATTCTCACAGTATCATTTGGGAGGGACTTTTTTTTAGATGGAGGGACATGGGTTAAAACGTTCCGCGTTGTTTCCACACTAGTAAACCAGGGATCATAATTGCAGTGCAGGAGCAATTAAAAAATAATGAAGAAGGGGAAAAGGTTCAATTTGATACAATCTAGATTAAGAAAACACCTCTTTGCATTGTTGTTGTTGTTATGTGCCGTTGAGTTGCCTGCGACTCATAGCGACCCTATGTACAACAGCCCTAAACTCCGCTCTGTCCTGTGCCAATCGCACTGTCTTTGACA